TGTGAGTGTGTGTGTGAGTGTGAGCACGCGTCGGTGAGCAGGCTGGTGTCGTCTTTATATTAACTGGGAGGTGGAAGGAAAAAAAAAGATGAACAGATGAGACTAAAATGAGAGCGAGACAAAGAATAAAATATAAAATAGTTGGTGGAAAACTGTCAAATATGACAATAAAAGACTGTAAACTCTAAATAGGTTAAATACAGTAAAGTGAAGCATTGTTTTCTTTTGATGATAAAAACGTGTATTTATTCTGTAAAATGTGGATCAAAATCATAATGGTTTCCTTTAATAGTTCAGCTGCAGCTTTTTTTTTAACCATAAAAAATAACCCCTTTTTTTACAGTGTAGTAAAAAGGAAGGAATAATTGGGGCAAAGAGAAAGTGGGATGAAAGAGATGTGAAGAAAAAAAGGAGAGGATGAGGATGAGGAGATGAATAAAACATCAGCAGAGACGAGGAAGGAGGAAGAGAAGAGGTCAGAATGAAAACCAGCTGAAATAGATTTAAAAATATAAATCGATTTTACAGGCACAACAACAGTGTTTAATAAAAGCTATAATAGATAAATTAATTAAAATTTTCTAATTAAAAAACTGAATCTGTAAAGTAACTAATGTATTACAGTAAAAAAAGTATATCTCTGTTATCTTACAATTGTTTTTAAAGCAGCAACAAGGAACTTTTATTTTGTCTTGATTCTGGTTTCCACCGTCTTGTTTCATTGATTTCAAGGGGACATTAATTAATAATTACTGTAGAGAAATAATATAGTAATGTAGCTCATATAGAGAATTAATATTTATACTGAGGAAAATGAGGAAAGATGAGACATAATGTGCAAAAATAAATAAATAATAAAATTGAATTACTAACTTTCTCTATTATCATGGGTATTATTATAAAATATAATATATAATTTAATATATAAAGTATCTTTTTATCTAATTTCATCAAAACATCATCAATCACAAAGCTAACTAGCTTGTTTGCTCACAGGAATGTTTTTTGACCTCTAGATGTCACTAAATCCTACAAACAGGTCCTTTAACGTCGGATACTGAGTGTAAAATATTGGCTAATAAATCAATTATAATGTATATATATTTAAATGTAGAATAATTCCCAGGTCCTCAGTGGTGGTAGACTTGAGACGGCGGTTCATATGTTGTCCTCAGTATTTGTCTTCCTGCCCTACGCTCATGGAAAAGACGGTGCAGTAATATGCTCAGAAGCTCCACATTTGCTTTTTGTTTTACTGGAATATAAACTTCACCGGCTGTGTCTTCATAAGCTTTTTCCTCGCTGTGTTTTCTGTGGTGCCAGATTCTGGGATGACTTCCACTGTTGGCTCTGCCTCCTGAGTAGACGATGCATTCAGTTTTAAAACCATGCCTCCCACTGCAGTCATGAGCTTGGTGGTGCTAACGCTTGCTGTGTTTTCTCCTGCCAGTTACTGGGATAACTTCCACTCCTGTGCCACGACGGCGCTGGCCGACTGCCAGGAGGGAGCGACGGACCTCTGGGAGAAACTGAAAAAGGAGTCCCGCAACCTGGATTTCCGTGGGAGTTTGTTTGAACTCTGTAGCAGCGGCAACGGAGCGCCCAGATCAGCTGACGCCAGGGGCCTCGCCTTGGTCCTAACCACACTGCCCACCATACTGACTTGGCTGGCGTTTTAACAGAAACAAGGGAAGACATACAAAAAAAACACAAAGTGAAAAGAAGAAAAAAACAAGAAAAGAAAAATAGCAAAAAAGAGTGATAGCTGCTCTTCGATACAGAAAAAAACAACTCCAAACGGACTGAATTCATCACCTGAAAACACCCTAAATGGATTTTTACTACATCACTATACGGTGGCACGGTTTGCCTTCCTGGGACGTCTGCAGGCCGTCCTCCCGGAGCGCTCATCCAATCACACGCTGACCTGACCCAGAGGTCGATAACATGAAATATTCAACGCGCCGTCGAGCCGAAACGATGACAATGATGAAAATTTGATGGATCCTTGCCCGCTTACAATCGTGGAATTACACAGTATTAAAGTCAACCATGAATTATTGATGTTTAGTAGGCTAGGCCTAGACGGCGCTGTGTGACTGCTGGGTGCTGACACAGTATCGGGCTATATATTAGGGGTCCCAAATAGCCTAAGGTGCATATTCATGTGTGACGCGAGGCCACAAAATCAATAAGACAAGCAGAGGCCCAGAGCCCATGTCAGACCAGTCGCCTCATTTCCATCACAGACAGCTTTTCCTTTTTTTATTGCGCCAGGTTGACTGTGTTGAGCCCGGTACGTTTGATGGACCGAATGCTTGATGGTGATGTAATATTTGTGTTCTTATTGGCTGTTTATTGTGCTCAGGCCACGGTCACACCAGCTTTTATCACAAGTCTGTCCTGCACAATGAAATAAATATGTGGCATTGACGAAAAAAAGCAATGACAGTATTGACCCGTGCAGCATGGCTTGCAGTCAGTGTGCCAGCGGTAGGTGTATTTTAAAATTTATAGCATTTCATTTTGGTTGTTTAACTGGCTAGCTCGCTAACCTCGCTAGCTACCACGTATAAAATCAACGCCACGTGAAGAAATCTCGCTCTGCCAGTTCCTGGTGTGACCGTAGCCTCGTTTTTCCCCCAACAAGCTCTTAGGCGCAGGGGTGTCGTTGAGAGTCTGCTTTTCATTAACGAACAGTTCAGAACGGTGTTTAATTGCATGATGTCAGTTCAAACAGAACATTTCAGGAAATGAGCACAAACTGTGAAATGCTTTAATTAATTCAATTCTGCTGAAGGAAACAGCAGCGAGGGATTGGACCACCAGCGTAGTCCACCATGTCTGGTACACAGGAGTTCAATCTTACCCCAAATCAACCCCCCAAAAAACTCTGGCATTATCGCTATGCTAATATTGGTATCTGTGTCATGGTTCCATCAATGAAAACCTTCCTTTCAAAATAATAATTGTGCTCATTTCCTGAATTCCCACGAGAACAAGAGAAAGTCCAACTGCTGTCAGCCTGACGGAAACTCCTCAAGGATCTTTTGGGACGTGAAAGTATTAAAACGCGTTATAATTAACTCTAAGTTCACATTGGTGGTTGATTTCCCACCGTTCTCCTGTCCCGCCACGCCCCCCGCTCAGTGCTAGAAATGAATGAATCTGTGAGCGAAACGGTCACCGAACGAAAGAAACGCGATGTTCTGAAAAGCCGACAGCAATACGAAGATGTGACTTCATGGCCAGTGTAGCTAAAAAAAATCAAACCGTGGCTGAAGAGTGATATGACTGTTGCCATTTAGCACATCCCCCCTTTTCATACGCCCGTGATTCATACTAGACGACCTTAGAGGTGATATATTTTAGGTCTGTATGTTAGATTAAAAAGCCCAACAGTGCAGTAGCATCATAAACTACATAAATACAGTAAATAAATTGGAGGTTTATTTCGAGGCGCAGATGACGTATCCACTGCCTTCTGACAAAAAAGATGTGTACTTTTGTTTGTTTGTTGGTTTGTCTCTCTGTTTGTTTATGGGGATGTTGCGTAACAAAAAGAGTTTTAAAAAATGGACTTATTCCAAAAATCATCTAACAAGAGAATATGTATATCAAAGGATTTTAAGAAAATAAAAAAGCTCTATTATAGATAGTCTATCCCAGACAGTTTTAACACAAGATTGATACTTTACAGATTATAGGCCTACTGAGATATAAAAAAAATAATGAATAAAAGATTGCTAAAATGATAAAGAGTAATAAATAAAAATGACTAATGTTTGAAAATAAGTGTGTGCTTTTATTTTGAAAATGTGTTTTTTATCCACTGGGTTTGTTGCACTCGAGATGATGGACACACACAGACACACACACACACACACACACACACACACACACAGAGAGGGTTTGGATTGTATTCATTATTAATAAGGGAGAGTCCCTGAGCTGCCACACGTCTCAGCACTCAGTTCATATTGATCGAGACGAAGAGGAGGAGGAGGAGGAGGAGGAGGAGGTCCTGATGTAGAAGATGTTTGTTTAGTCTAACATGGATAATCCAAGACCTTTAAACCTCATTAATTTGATCTTAAATTGCATAAAACACCAAATAATTTAGGAAATCACAGATCAGATTTATAAGTCAATAATGACTTAAGTCAAAATATTGAGACATTTAACATCTAATTATTTTATTATTATTATTTAATAAGTATAAAATATTGATAAAGTTTGTCATTATGATAACTTACAGAATCCTCTTTTCTTCCTCACATTGGGCTTCCATAGGTTTCCTCTCTTGTTTTTCCCGATATGATGTTTTCTTCCTGGTCTGCAGACAGCAGCCGTGCTCTCACATCACATCCATATTAATGCAGAAACACGCAGTGCATTGCGTTTCCCCTCGGGAGCCAGTAGCACGCAAACTGCAGCTCTGATGAAAATCTGCATGAGCTTCATTAAACCTTAATGAAACTACACAGCTATAGTATGACTGAATCTCTCCCTATAAACACTGTAAAGGAACATTAGACATTAATGCAACACAAGGCTGGAAAAACACCAAAAATAGGTTTTTATCACCAGAAATATTCCAGCAAGAATATAGTGACAATATAGGAAGTATAATGTGGTGGTGACATTACAGGTAAATGCCTATAATAAAACTGTGAGAGGGTGTTAATTACATTACATTGTAAAAGCACTATAATTAGACAAATTATACGCTTAGGGTGTTTAAAATGTTGTTCTATAGATGCACTACATATGGAAGCCAATTTCTGTCAATGTGATGGGAGAAATTGATCCTATAAGTGAAGTCAAAATATCATTATCTTAAAATAATGACAAACATTCTCAAAATAATGAGAAATGTTCTCATTATTTGAGATACTAAGTCATTATTTCATCAATAGAATGAAAAAACAAACAACTGCAGACACAAAAGCAGCTGCAGGAACAAAGTGTGATATCTGATGAAATAACAATCATCCTGTAAAGTGATATGATGGATTAAATATTAAGTGTTTTGTTGACATGAAATCGCCTGTACAGTGAGATATAAAGGTTGTTTTAAGCTCAGTTGTGCACGAAGGACGAGGCATGTAATCGATTATCCTTTATTTGAAATCAATAAGAGACTCTAATATAAAAACACAACCAGAAATATTGTATTTTTATGGCGCCATAAAATGTAAAAGATCATAAAATCCACTCACCTCTATGAATAATAGTATAAAAGATAATATTACAGTGTTAGGAAGCTCATTTTAAATTCTCAACATTTCCTTTTTTCTTCAATATGTGACAAAAAGATCTATAAAAATCAATTATTATACAAATACTTCAATAAAATAAAACATATTGCTGTGTTTTAATCATTTTAAATACATTGGTATAAAGCAGCAAAACACAGAATAATTCCTGGAAAATAAAATAAAAAATCCTGAGAGGCAATTATCGCCTGTAGGAAGAAACAAGAGCAGGCGAGATTTCTGGCGAGCGGCTCATTAAAAATGTATGTAGGGAAGCCTGTGAGATGGATGAGGAACTCCCGCGGGATTCTGGGAGACTTCGAACAGTCTAACCCCGTTTTTCATTCATTCAGTAATCTGTCAGCATCTATCACTAACAGAACAATGTGAACAGGAGCCACAAGACTTCATTTGTTTCCTGTGATATTATGACTCGAGTCAGAAACTAATATGTGGTCTGGATAGGGAGGTTCAAACTGGGGGTCGGGACCATCAGGGGCCACGGAGGAGATTTTAATTTTTACATTTTCTTCATGTGGATCTGAAATTTTCATAAGGAATATATATTGAACATATTAGGCCTATATAAAATAAGATTAATTCCTCTCCCAGATGAGATAATTGTCCAGATGAAATGAAAAATGTAATTTCAACCCTTTAAGATTTCATCCTCAGTTATATTGTTCTAATATTTAACAACGTCTGACAAATGTACAAAAACTCAATTTCTTTGTATTTTTATATCAGAATCCAATCATTGTGTCTTCCTGTTAAACTAAATGTGACGCTTGCTTACGTCAGCATTAACTAACTGATTTCAACCAATAACATCTCCTCCCAGTGAACAGAACCTCAGACACAGACAGAGGACAGTTTGACGACAGTGGTACCGAGGTGATTTATGGAGTTTCCAGATGGACTTGTTGCTAAAAGAAGCTAGTTGGCTTATGCAGCTAACGTTAGCTAACTTAGCACTGGGGTGGCAGGAGCCAAAACCAGCAATAAAAACACCTTTGTACTTTATTCCCTGATCTTGGACCTGTTTGCTTTAGCTTCAGTCTCTTAGCATTCTACAATGCTATGCTATCCTGCATCCTATGTTACCATCAGGTGCATACTTACCAAAAATCTGCCTAAAACATTAAAAACTCAGCTGGTGACAGCTGTTTTCAACATGAAACTAACATTAGCTTAATTAGCTAGCTCGAAACAGCTGACAGAATTGCCAGCTAGAAATGAGAAGCTTCTTTTGTCAATCTGTCTGAAACCAAAGACCCACAAATTGGTAAAACTGTCACATTTCTCTTTGTGTAAACTGCATCACGCTGTGTGGGAGCAGGAATCTTGACAGGCGTAGCAACAACAGTCAACTTCTCCCAAACACTGCGATGAGTGACATTACCAAACATAACACCGGCTGCAGAAGAGTCTGACTGAAAGACACAACCACCAGAAAAAAAAGATGTGTAATTAAGACAAGTAGCAGCTGCAATGTACCAGCTGTACCAGACGGCTGCTGAATATCACTGAATATCTGGATTCAAGCAGCGAACACAGGGTGTGTGAAGGCTATCTTCAGGGACACATTTCAGACTAAAGATCAGTTAATTGAGGACAGCTTGTCCTACTGGAGACAAAAGCTGTGTCCCCAAGTAGATTTTAGGTCCGTGGAGTTTATGGTTATTGTAAGTCAGCAGGAAATGAATGTACGTTGCCAAAAGTGGCATCAGTAACCGTGTGTGTGTTGGTGGGAGGTTGGTGGGTGTCAGACGGGAAATCTGCCAAAACCCCAGAGAGGTGTCACTCAGATTTTTCCCATTCGCACGTGATGAGGCTGCAGTCACACTCTGATGATCCTGTTTTACTGAACCGAAAATATCAGTGGGCCTAAGAAGAGAAACACATTTAAAGAATAGATGAGAGTTTGAGTCGCTCCAATCTGAAACCTCTC